AATAAAAAATTGCAAAATGTTGGCGGAATGGAACTATACCTGTATTAAATTGATCAATGGAGTACTGTTTACAGTTATATGTTATTTGGTGTGTATCAAGAGGGCCCATGAAAATGAGTCCAGTCTATATTGGTGGTCCAGGATAATAATTCCAGTCTATGTTGGACGGATACGGTCTATGTCGTTGATTGATACTATCCTAATGGCACTACTTCCTTCATTCTTCCTGGCATATATTTTTCCATTTACAGTCCATATAAATTTCCAATGGGCTTTCTTTCTTTTCTGGTTTGCGGTGTGAAATAGCTGTTTGTTAGCGGGGGTGAGATTTTCGTTGATAAAGACACGTGTACTTACATTTGTATCAATGTTTATATCTTTTGTAGTTTTGTTTTTTATGTTTTCCTGGAGTTGAAAATTTTATTTCCGGTGGTTCTTCTAACAAATTTTACTATAATGGGTGGAGGTTGTTGATGGTTTCTCGAGCGCAGACGATGACTGACATCAATGTCATTTTGTGAAATCTTAATGCCGACAGCATCAGAAATTTTCACAACTAAATTATCGGTATCTTCATTTCGTTGTTCAGGCACTCCATGTATCTCGATATTGTTTCTTCTGGTGTACTGCTGTAATTCCTGTAACTCATTTTTTGTAGCGCTTAATGAGGATTGTGTAACTTGGAGTTGATTACTCAGTAACTCATTCTTCGTTTCAAGATCTTCCATCAGATGTTTATAATCCTCAAAATACCGACGTTTGCAGCTCTACTAATTTCTTCTCAAGGGAGGATATGTTATCGATTTTCTTTTCAAGTGACTCAAGCTTTGTCATGATTGTGTCAAGTTGGTTGATATCCGCCATCTTGCCTTTGTTTACTATGTCACAGTAATATCTACTCAGGGAATCACACATATTTTCAGCTCATTTTATCTGAAAAAAATCATCTTTTTCAACTGGTAAGCCATGGGAATCAGGAATTATATTGGAACTGTAAAATGCAAACATGTGTAATTAAATTCAATAACATGGTGCTGATGCTTCTTCAAATATTATTAAAGAACTTTCTTTTAAAGGTCCTGCAATTTATTCCAATTTTTTTTTTTATTGCAGATGACGATGTGTACATGGAAGGCGTGATGGAAAGAGAAGAGTACGTATTGAATGACTTTGGATTTATATGGTATGGCACTTACAGACAATTGGGAAAAAGAAGATGGAATTTTGGACAGGTAACATAAAATTATAAATTTATACAATTTATGTATGTTTGTACTTCTTTAAGAATAGATGTGGCTGACATGTTTCAACAGGAATTTCCTGTAATTTCATCAAAACTGGAATTGAAAGTATGAAAAAAATTATTATTAATTTTATGAACAGTGTCCTGGAAATAAGTTCATGATTTATAGCTTCAGCAATCTATTTCCTGGTTTGCCTTGTTCCCAACATTCATAAACCCACTACACAGATGAAATTGGAATAGTTTTACCTCAGCGTACACAAGTTGCTAAGATAACTGCGGAACTCAAATCTTGTCTATTGCTTTTATGTTTCCTGCATTGTTACTTGTTAGACTTGTCCATTCTTGAATTAGCCAATAGAGACAACATTCAGAATATTGAAGATGGATTTATGATAATCCATACTGAGGGTATGAAATACACCATTTCTGTCCTGCATTTTTTTTTTAACTCACTGCAATAGTTTTATTTGAATTATAGTCATTCTCAGTCTCAGTTTTGGAAAGTGGAGTGCACTCAAATACCAAGTTCTGAATTTAGTATATATGTCTTCTACCTAACAAATCAGATTAACAAATCTTGTTGATGATAATGTCCAAATACTTATTTCCTGTTTTATTAAATTGCCTGTACTTACAAAATGTCACGAGTATCACATTTCTTATACATATGCATGTAAGGTGAGTATTGTTTCCATGAAGTAATCTCTTATTGAAGGGATTCCATTTATTGTTCGTCATCACCACATGAGTGTAGGTGTATAAGACCCCAATATGATACATTGGTGTGTAATACTTGAGGTAGTATTTACTAAGAATATATGATAGGCATAGACATAATTACTTGCATTATACGCACCTAGAAATATTACTTTTTGTTCAACTGTAGAAAATTATATCTATAGTATTAAAAGTGAAAGAAAAAGTTGTCAAGGTTTGCTAACTCTAGAATGTCAAGTTTAGATTGCTATCTGTTGATTATCAGTGCACTATACCACTTATATATGTAATAGAACCAAGGATCTTTATTTTCGTATGGTCAGTTCACCTGCATCATTGCAAGCTGAATATTTAAAATATATTTTTCCTGCTGCCAAAGCTGTCAGTATTGGAGAATTGAAAAATAATTCAACTTTCTGTCTGGCATAAAATTACTTCTTTTATTAGTAAAACAGATTTCTCTCTGGTCCTGAGTTGTTCAAAAAAATAAATAAATAATGCAATGATGAGGCTTTTATTCTTTTTTGCCATGAATTTTTTTTTTCAGTATTTATTTTATTTTTCACAATATTTAAAAAGAAAAACTGTTTATTCTGTTTTATTATTTGTATTGCAGTTTGAAAGTGAAGTATTTGAAGCTGTCATGTATCTGCTGGAACTTGGTGTTGTACCATGGGCCCGTAACAATGCTGTGTTAGTTGCTAGAGTACTGTCATCACTGGTAAAAACATTCACAATAAGTCATGCTATTTAGATGGATTAAAAACTAATAACATTAACTAATGCATCATCTTAGTTTTCACCGAGTTGTACATAATTTGGTTCAGTTTACCTCAAACCTCAAAGCAAAAATATTTGTGTAAAATGCTCCACCCAAATTTTGGTAGCAAAGAATATTGCTTGGAAAGTCATTAAACTGTAAACAACTTATTTAAAATGGATGGATTGTCATCTGAACACAGGAATTGAGTTCTAAGCAACAATAACAACACTTGCTAAAAATGAAAAATCTCATGAGATTGAAGATTCTTGTTTGTAAACAACAACACACTATGGTCATCTGGCACAAGCGATGACTCTCCCAATTTAACTTTAACAAATATGCTGCTATCATTGTTGGTAATATTACATGGGAATTCCGTATGGAGTTCGGGTATAATTGTTGTATGTGAACTAAGTACTGAATACTGAATGTCGATATTATTCTTCAGGGCAATTCACAAGATGATGATGGTGTTTTAGTTGGTAACTGGTCTGGTGATTATGCTGGTGGCACTAAACCGACTAGCTGGACTGGAAGTGTGGCGATATTTGAAGAGTATAATAGAACTAAGAAGCCTGTATCATTTGGACAATGTTGGGTGTTTTCGGGAATCCTTACCACAAGTATGTAATGGTTTTGACTAAAGCAATACAATTTTTAGTCCTGTAAAACCTCACTTAAATTGGCAATAGCTGTGATTTTGTTTGGTGTAAATATACTGTAAAACCATTTATTATCACTGGCATTTAATTTAACTATTTTGAGCAATTTCACTGAATTTTGAGCTCACATACTTGTCATGGAACCAATGAGTTCTTTTTAGCTTTGCTGTCATATGATCGAGCGGAGCACATAGGTTGACTGGACCTGTCTTTGTCTGTCCACTGTCTGCCGTTCGTCACATTTTTTTCAAGCAACTTCCTCTCTAACACTATAAGCTAGATGACCTTGCTATTTATAGCACAGCTACCTGGGGTGGTCCACTGTCAGATTTGTTCTTAAAGTTTCCTTGCTTTGACAAGTGGATCATTGCACAACATGGAACTGGTACTTTGTTTATATGATACATTCAGGTTTCTGTTAATATGAACATTATATGACTTTATCTTTCAGTGTTACGTTGTCTTGGAATTCCTGCCAGGAGTGTGACCAACTATGCATCATCTCATGATACAGATGGCAGTTTGACAATTGACAGACA